AACCTTTCTAGAAATACCCTGTTAACATCAGGATATGTGTTTCTATGGTGATTCCAAATCAAATCAAGCTGACACTGAAGATTAACCATGGGATAGAATTGTTTTTTTTAACCCATGTGCTAACAACTCCCTTGTTCTGTCTCTTGTCTCCCGACTCCTTACCATTGCTTCCCTGCCCCGGCCCTGGTTGCTGTGCTTAGAGAACTGTAGATCTGGGGAGGACTTAAGAGATGGGTCTGCAGCTCAGGGGTGCGGGGTGACTCCCACGTGTTGTCTAGTGAATTGTGCAAGCAAAGAACTGAGCCAATACCATCATCCCAGCTCGAGGGCCTTAATCCCAAAATTCTAAAGTGGTTTTCTCTTCACATCTCCTGAGGATTTCTGTCCTCCACCTTCAGAGCCCACTCTGCTTCTCCTCCCAGAAACCCTGTCTGCCCTTTGTCTTTCTCCTGTCTCAGCTTCTTGGCTCCAGGAAGATCCTCAGCATGTTCTTAATTCTGGCTGTAGGCTGGAATACAGTACATGTCCCTGGTGGAAGTTATTCTTTCCTTTATTGGGAGCTACTAATATCCTGAGGCTCATAATGAGTTTGATAGTTTTATTATAGGCTGTGCCCTTGCAAAATAATCAGGCACCCTTTGTAAGAGTGCATGGGAAACTGTTCTCCCAACTCCAGAGCAGCGAGTTAATTGCATTTGGCCAGTTGGGAGGCCGTGTGTGCACAAAGACTCATTCACGGTGCGGGCCTTGAGCATTTACAGAGTATCCGGAACCAGCAAGAAAATGTGAACTCAAAACTGGTTCCGGCCTGTTTCATAGCTAAGAAAGTGTGTTGAGAATATTATTCCCTGGCTTAGAGACATAGCTCACAGGTAAAAGCACTGGCCTTGTATACTAAATGACCTGAGTTCAGTCCTCAACCTGATTTTGATCTCTGGATCCCAACAGTAGAAAGACAGAACCAGTTCCCAAAGGTTATATTCAGACCTTTACATCTCTTACTTCCATATGCATACCATGGTGCTCATGTGTACACACACACACACACACACACACACACGCGCGCGCACACACACACACACACACACGCACACACACACACACACACACACACTAATAATAATAATAATAATAATAATAATAATTGTTTAAAAGATGGAGCTGGAAAGATGGTTCAGCAATCTCTGCTCTTGCAGAAGGACCGAGGAAACCAGGTTTGGTTCCAGCACCCACATCAGATAGAACACAACTGCCTGGAACTCCAGTTTCAGGAGATCTGAGGCCCCTTGTGGCCTCGGTGGACACCAGCATACACATGGCACATTTACATCCACGCAGGTACTTGTGCACGTATATAAAGTAAAAATAATTCAGTCCTGTTTTTTAAAGACTATCATCTCACTCCCTGGTTTAGAGACCTCGTAGGATGCGCAGGGACACAAGCATAGTGCTGGTCACTCAACTTGTAGATGGGTAGTTAGGAGTTAACACTCCCAAGCAAACTCCTCCCTGTCCTGTGGGATCCTCGGAGCATTTTTCCCAGGCCCCAGGAAGAGTCCGGACCCACTGATGCATCCAGGATTGTAGAGCCTGGCTGTTCCTGCTGGCTTTACTCTGGCTGGAGGAGACTCTAAATCATATGTACCAAGACATTGTTGGGAAATGGGCTTGAGATAGGCGACAAGCAAGAGTTGAAAGCTGGCAGAAAGATTAGTGGAGATTATCAAGTTAACATAAGAAATGACTGGGAGGAGCTAGGGGGATGTTCAGGCATGAAGGGCTCACTGTGCAATCATGAACACCAGACTCGAGAGCCACAGCACCGATGGAGAAAGCTGGGTGTGCTGCTGTGAGCCTGGATGTAATCTTGGCACTGGGAAATTACATAGAAGATGTCAGTCAGCTACTCTAGCCCACTGGCGAGGCTCAGGTTCACTAAAAGACTATCTCAAAAATTAAAGCAGAGACACCCGGTGTCAACCTAGGGCCCCCACAGGAGCAAGAGGGATGTGCACCTCCACATAGGCATATGTATATAGAAGTATACACGACACACATAGAAAAAGTACTGGGACTAGAAAGTTTGAATCTTCCTATATGGATACTTCAAATGAGTAGGGAAGATGTTTTGTTTTGTTTTTACTAAGGGTAAAGTGCTGAGGGAAATATATTCTAGCATCAGAAGCACAACAAGCAGGAAGTGGCTAGGGGTGGCTCTGACCCCACCTGAGGTTGACTGTGGACTCTCGCAGGGATGACTCAAGAGCTGAGTGAAAAAATACCAAAACAAGCCTCCTAGCCAACCATCACCATCTTTCTTTTCTTTTTTGTTTTTGCTCTGACCGTGTAGCCCAGGCTAGCCTCAAAGTCACAGCAATCTTCTGCCTAGCCTCCAGAGTGGTGGTATTACAAGTGTATGCTACCACGCCCAGCTGTCTGCATGAGAACTTACAGACCCTGCCGTGTAGTCTGTTTGGGGCCATGGCCAGCCTGGGAGCGCAAAGGCATTGCAGACCGTTCCCATTTGTATCCCGTTCCCAGGTTTTTTCTCTGCCGTCATATATGTAAGGAAGCTTTCCTGTGTAGCAGTTAAAGGTTTACATTCATTGAGACCCGGGCTATTTTTGGCTCATTGCTTTAGAAATGAGAACTAGAGGAAGTTAAATATGTGTTATAACGATGGTCAGCTTCGCCAGGTGGTAGTGGTGCATGCCTTTAATCCCAGCACTCGGGAGGCAGAGGCAGGTGGGTCTCTGTGAGTTCCAGGCCAGCCTGGACTACAGAGAGAGATCCAGGACAGGCTCCAAAGCTACACAGAGAAACCATGTCTTGAAAAACCAAAAAAAAAAAAAAAAAAAGGTCAGCTGCTCTGAAGGACACACCTTTGGTCACAGTCTTCACTGCAAGTTCCAACCACTGGAACAACTTGAACATTGCCCTTCTAGTGACAAGAGATTCTAACAGGCCCCATCTAGGCAGGAGCAGCCACGGGCTCTTTAGATTGGTTCTAAGCCACTAATCCTGGGCAAGTGTCGCATTCTCTTGGATTCTCTTTCTTATCTTGCATAAAGAAAAACCTTTTGAACAATGTCTATGGTTTTCCAGGACTGATGTTTTAAGTTCTGTGAACAAATACATACGATAGACCATTTTCAACTTCTCTAATAGTTATATCTCCAGAGGAAGGAAAACCTTCAATAGTAATTGTCTTCCTCTATACAGTTTTTGTTGGTTTTGTTTGGTTTGGTTTTTTTCCTCTTTAAAAGACTGTAGTAACAAATCCCTAGAATACACCATTTCCAATGATCAAGCTTAACAAGCATTTGTAATTAACAGGTTGTCAACAGTATCTCACCTGTGCATTAAACTTTTGGATTTTTTAAAATGATTTCATGACCCCAGGCAAGGCAATATAAACATGTTTTTAAGCCCCAAACCTCTCTTGAGACAAAGTATCATATAGCCCAGGCTTGTCTCAAACTCACTATGAGGTTGCGGATGATTGTTGAACTTCTTATCCTCCTGCCTCCACCTTCTGAGTTCTGGTACTATAGGCACGCACCGCTGAGCTAGGTTTATCTGGTGCTTAGGATCGAACCATGCATGCTAAGGACTCCAGGCATGCTAAGCAAACACTCTACCACCTGAGCTATGTCTCCAGCCCCTGTAACATACTTATTTGTAATCAGAACACCAGACTATATAGGGAAAATGTGATTTTTAAAAAAATGTGAATGGTTTCTTAGCATTATATACCATCAGAAATCACAGTATACATGTGGCGTATAGGGTCCTATAGTTCATTTTTAAGTTGGAAAAGCCATGATTTGAAATGGATCGTTTTTTGGAAAATGTACACTTTTTATGTCAAAAAAATTAACAAAGCATAAAGTTCTTTGGGGGACTTCATACAGTGTGGTCGAGGGAGTAGCGATGGGAATTTATGAAGTGTGTGCTCTCAGTTGAATCTAGTGGTTGTTTGCAGCAGTCCAGTAAGTCAGGATATGTATTTTGTTCTGTCCAGTGAGTCCCTAGAAATAGTCCTAGCACTGCACTAAGTCAGAGGCGTACGCACAGTGTCCCAAGTCCCCCCTAGTGTTTCTCTTTGTAGGGGCCAAGCACAGCCTCCTCAGCCCTTCTGAAGATAACACTGCGTGCATCCTGCTTTATGACAGTTTGTCCCTTTGGATGGCGTCACTATTGCTTGTCCTCAAAACATCTGTCGGAGACAGGAGACCAGCGGGGCTCGAAGGAGAAATGAGGGAACCAGGCCAGAACTACCACAGACTCTCCTGAGCCATTTCTCACGGATGGTGGATAGTACGCCCAAGGGAGTGTCAGTTGAAATCCGTAATGTGTGTGTAAACGTGTGTTCTACCAACAGCACTGGTTTTTGGCAAATGAGATATTTCTTAAGGGCGTTAACTTGTAGACAGCACTGGTCAGATATTACTTCAGCCTGCTATGGGTTAGTCTTTAGATCCTGTGCGTTCTAATCCTTGTGCCTTTTCAACTTGCCCGCTCCTGTAACACGAATCTTAACCGGTCTTATTAATAAAGAAAACCCAGAGCCAGATATGGGGTTGAAAACCGAGAGATCAGAAGACTACAAGCCAAGCCACGTGTTCTTACTGCTAGGAAATCCTCAGCTCAACGGAATCTCAGCTGAACTGCTGCTAAAAGCCTCTAGTTCCTGATCCTCATGCCTTATATACCTTTCTACTTCCTGCCATCACTTCCTGGGATTAAAGGCATGTGTCCTGCCCAAGCAAAGACATGCGATCTCAAGTCCTGGGATTAAAGGTGTGTCCCATCATGTCTGGCTCTGTTCCCAGGGTGGCCTTGAACTCACAGAGATCCAGATGGATCTCTGCCTCCCGAGTGATAGGATTAAAGGTGTATGTGCCACCACTGTCTGGCCTCTGTGTCTAATCTAGTGGCTAGCTCTGTCCTCTGATCCCCAGATAAGTTTTATCTGTTAGAGCACAAATAAAACATCACCATACACTCCTTTTCTTTCCCTGTTGCTTTCTGTTCAGGCCCTGACTCTTTCTTCTCTCTTAGCAACTGCTGCATCAGCAGCCACTGAGTCCTGATTGGGGTGACCTTTGTAAACAAGGAGAGTGCTCATGTCTTCAGCATTCCATACCACCGCCCTCAGCATCTGGACAAGCCTGCCTTCCCATTCCCCTCCTTTGTGGATCCGTGCAAACTTGTCAGGAATGTGGCTTCCACTGGAAGGCATCTCTTCTGCTCAGGGCATCACCTGGGCGCCAGTGAAAACAGTGGTGACTCGTAGATGTTGTGACAAAACCCCATTGTGTAACTAAACAAGTGACTTGTCCCCATGGATGGAAAGGTGCCAGCAATAATACTGCCAAGAAAAAAAAAACAACAATAATGTATATTCATTTTAGTTAAAATCACTCTTAACAAGAGGCCCTTTTTCTCCTAACTCCATAATTCGTTAACTATAGTCCTGCAGGCTATAGGTGGAGACACAGGATTCAACAGAGCATCTTATTACATACTTGTAGGTAAAATGCAAGTATTGGGGAACAGGGAAAGGGCAAATTAAAGAAAGGACATTGGATGTTTGCCGTGCATTTTTCTCTTTTTCCCCATTTATAGAAAATAAAGTATCCTATGAAAGTTTTCCCAAAGGCCACGAGCAAACACATGAAGCCTAACAATCTGCCCATTGTCGCTTGTGTTACACCCTGTCTTTGAAATGTGTGTTCTTTGTTCTTGCATTTTGAAGGACTGCATTTTAAGCTGCGGGATTAGAGTAGTGACGTTTACGCTTGGCTGCCTGGATTGTCTTTTACAAAGTCAGATCGCTATTAACTAAACTTTTCATGTTGCTCTCAGATCCCAGTCTGACAGGCCCTTATTCTGAACATTCACTCGGAGGTGATCTTCCCTTACATCCAGTCGTGTGATATCTTCTACGCTTTGGGCTGTGCATTGTAATTTACTCATTAACAGTCGCCAGTGGGATCCCACTGAAGTGTAGCTTCATAAGGCAAGTGTGTACATGTGATTCCTGGTTGCCTTTTCGTAAGGAACTCCTGTAGGTCTGTATGTGACGTTTCCTCAGCGTGAAAGAGAAACGAACAAGAGCGTGGGATAGGAAGAGTGCCTGACATCCCGTGCACACGGTGGGTGCCATGGGGACGCTGGAGGCCCTGGGACGTGCCACAGGGGCAAGATGGAAGATAGCAGAGCTCTGGGTAGCATTCAACAAACATGACCTATATGTGTCTCTCCAGTGAGCCAGTGCCCCTTCTAACCCACTCAATCATGAACCCGTGTCACCCAGCAGCAGCTCTCTCTTTCTCTCTCCAGCTAGACCGTGAGCATCCACGGCCTAGGATTGATTTAGCTTATAGTTCTGCTCATCCCCTATGTCCCTGGCATTCTATTCACCACTTAACAAATGCTGTGTAAAAACCTGGAAGGGAAAGAGCGTGGCATGCAATAGCCTGAGTTACTAAAGTAACTACTAATTCATTACTGTCCATCAAGCTGGTGCTTTGTTTGTTTTTGTTTGGGGGGGGTGTTTGTTTTTGTTTTTTGTATTTTGCCAAACTAAATTTTCATGATTTTTTTTTGAGTGAAACAAATCTTTCATGTGGTCTTTGAATTATATTATATGCCTCTTAGGAACTCCACAATGAGATAGGATAGGTGTAATAAGGGAGGTTTGGCAGCTTGCTGACTACAACTCCCACATTAAAATGCAAGTCACTGTGTCGGGTCGTCTCAGAGACTGAGAAGCCAGGTGCAGAAAGTCACCATGCATTTAGCCCAGGTACCTACTGAAATGATTGAAATAGCACCGTGGTGCCCTAGCACCAACAGTGCCTCTGAAATCGCAGTACCAGCAAGGCCAGCCTCTGTTTGAAAGCAGCTCTTGGCTTGCACAGTCCTTTTTTGATTGCATATTTGTTGTAGTCGTCCCTGTTGTGAAAAGGGCTATGGCTTGCTAGTTGGGAAAGCATGATGTTTTGTTCACTTCTTACCATTTTTAAGGCCTTCTCCCCTTTTATCATGCCCTTAGTCTAAGGGCATGTGCTCTGGCCTAGTCATCAGGAAGTAAAAAAAATGAGAGAATCCAGCCTTTGCCCTCAGCATGCTCACCCCAGTGGGCTACTCAAAGACGTAGCCTTCAGCGGCGTCTCAGACTGGAGTGCCTCCAAAGGACCCAGGACTGGAAGCTACTGCCATGGCTTCTGGTGACAGGGTGACAATCAATATGGCATTAAGCGACCAAGTTACATTCTCTAAATAGCATCACTTAAAAGGAAACTTAAGGAGCCTGGCTGCAGTAGAGAAAGCTTTGTATGGGGCCAGTCATTCTTGCTTATCAAGCCGGGCACTTGGCAAGTGCTCTGTGTACTTAGAGTCCACCTGTGCTGAGTAAGTACTTGCCCCGAAAAGTTCACAGCCCATAACGGCGCTTGGAGAACCAGGTCCCTGGCCTAGCCTATCTGAAGCCCTGCTGCTAGCTGAAGCCCTGCTCTCAGCCGCTGTTCTACACTGACCCTATCAACGTACAACCACCCCAAGGAAAGGAAACCACAAGTTCAGCCAAGTGAAGAGTCACGGCGGGGGGCCTATCGTGCCTCACAGCTGCCGCTATCTGCCTCGGCCACGGGGTTTGTAAGCTGTTGATGCCAGGACAAGGAAGGCATTAGACTCTCCAGGAAAGTGTGGAGAAAATGCTTTTCCTTCTTCTGGGAAAAAAAAAAAAGAAGCAAACAAGAGTGGCCTGCTGATATTATCATCAGTAGTTACCTCTGGGGGTCGACTGTGTTTGAAACTGGTGCCGACATCCCTGCCCTTGGAGAGGTCTCCATTCATTCCCTCAGCAGACAAATAGGCTTAGCATCCCGTGTGTCAGAGGCATGGCAGACTCTGCAGGTGAGTGAGGCCGATGGTCCTGTCGGTACGGTGTAGGCAAAAAGGATAAGATCTCAACATCAGTGGAACAGAGTAAGACTTACAAGAGTAAGTTTGAAATAGACCCACCTGTATATGATGGCCTTTGACAGGAAGACAAGGTAGTCCACTGGAGAAAAGACCAGTCTTTCCTACAGCTGGGTGCTAAGACAACTGGATAGCGTATGCGGAGATGACCCTTAGCCCATTGGAGCTATGCTCAAAAACATTAGGCTGGATCATAAAATGCTAAGACTGGGAAGGGGTAACAGGGACCTCGAGGTGAGAAAAGCCCTTTAATCCTATTTATTGTGACAGCTGCATGGGTTAAAGTACACTCTCAAATGGGTGAGGATTAATGTATGTGAATTATACTGCAGTGAGTTGAATGTTTCCCAGTTCCCTCCCATAATGTTCTCAGTGATTGGCTAAGAGGCAGGCTCCTTGTTCTGACCTGTGAAGCCCATCAGTGGCGGTCAGAGCCTGCCTGACTCTCTCCCCTCCTGCAGCCCCCACCCCAGGGGCGCTTTTCCTCAACCAGGATCCTGCCTTTGCTGTTCCCTTTTAACCAGAGTTCTCTTCCCTGGGTCTTGGCATTGATGGCCCCGGCTCCGGGGTCGCTTTCTCAGTGACGTCCTCCCTGACTCCCTGACTGAGGACCAAGCCCATCACAGTGCGTTGGTCTCTAAACATGTGTCACACGTTGACATGCCTATTTTCACCTGTAGTAATGAACCCTAGGAGTTCACTAAATTGTAAGAAGTGAGGACAGCATGACATTAGAGGTTGGGCATGGTGGTTCAGGTCTGTAGTTCAAGCACTGGGGATGCAGAAGTAGGAGGACTGAGAGTTCAGAGCCATTCTAGGTTATATAGTGAGACTCCATCTCAAAAAAAAACAAAACAAAAAAAAAAACCCTTTACATGAGAGCCGAATGTGCAAATCATGGAAAGAGACTCTTGAGAAAGAGTAATTAATAATACCAACTGCCACAATATTATGGGTAGAGGAAGGTAACCACTTGGCAACAAGGTGGTCTTCACAAGAGGAAGTTCAAGAAAGAGCAAGTGAGATATAGAAAATGACAGTACGGAGAGGGTAGGGCATGTAAGGAACTGAGCATAAGCTAAAAGATGCTCTCCAAACGGCAGAGCGATGGATAGCGGGGATGTAGGACCTGAAGCACTGGTAGAAGGAACATGGTCTCTGCTGTTTTAAGATTAGAATGCCACTGGGTTGAGACACTTGATTCTCAAGCTGATGATGTCATAAGCACCATGGAAAGACAATACTGAGCCGAGGGAGGGCAGGTAAACAGACTGCCAGATGCCACCAATGCCTGGCAAGAGCCAGAGATCATGCCTTCATTATCATAGTAATTACATGGTTGAGCAGTTCTTGCCAGCAGTCTGCCTCCCGGGTGCAGAAGTAAAGATGACAAACAGTTGGCTGGATCAAGGTCACCGACGAGCTGAATCAATGTGTCGTGAGGACAAGGAGAGAAGACACTGTAGACTGTGGGTCTCTATGGTTGGGTCTGAATGAAACATAAGTAAAACATAAAAGTCCTGTATGGGGAGAGACTGAGAAAAGAAAAGAAAAGAAAAAACAAGGGCCAGAAAGCCCAGTGAGAATCAGAAAGGATCCTTGAAGGATGGGAGACTGCCACTAAAGGTGGTTTGCTTAGAACCTGAGAATTACTTGGAACTTCAGAATTTAGAATGTGGACGATGGGTGTGGCTGGAAGAGTAGCGGATGAAATGGAGGCTAAAGGAATGAGTAAAACTTAGATCTTAGACGCAGAAGAACCCAACATGTCACCCTGCGCATCCTGACGATGTTACTCGGCCTCGGGAAGGCAAATGCAGATCCAAACCAGGGAACTCCGTGAGTGGCCATTGTGAGTATGTTCACAGTAACACAGAGAGTATGTTCACAGTAACACAGAGTATATTCACAGTAACACAGAGTATGTTCACAGTAACACAGAGTATGTATGTTCACAGTAACACAGAGTATGTATGTTCACAGTAACACAGAGTATGTATGTTCACAGTAACACAGAGTATGTTCACAGTAACACAGAGGAGAGGGGAAAATACGTGCCGTGCCTAGGGATGAGGGAGTTGGGCAGTGTATGGAAGCTATAATGATGAGTTGTGAGAACACCAGACTGCTTCTGGGGGAGTCCTTCCTAATGCTGGCAGAGTCTGAGCTGGGACCAGTGAAAGGTCCCTGGAAAACATGTGCTTTGTAAAGGAAGACGGAACCCTTAGGTTATCATGAAGACAGGAGGTAGGATAGAAGGAAATCTTACTAAGAGAAAAAAAAAGTGTAAGTCGAGAAGTAATGTAAAATTAAAAAGTAATGTAAATTAAGAAGTAATGTAATACTCAGGTATGGTGGTGCATGTCTATGATCCCAGCACTTGGGAAGTCGAGGCAGGAGAATTGGGAGTTCATGGCTATCTTCAGCTATATAGCAAATTTGCAACCAGATTAGGCTATATGAGATCTGGTCTCAACAACAACCAAAAGACAAAAACAAACAAAAAAAAATTAAGATGATATTAACTTAGCATAAGAAATATATTTGTTCTTACTGTTTTAATACAGAAATATAGATGTATACTGTTAAGATTTCTGTCCTATAAATTAATATTGGAGCACCAGAATATGTGTTTTGTTTAAGAATGATATAGGCTAATACCGCATACCTTAGCAGATTGCTATTACTTTGCAAGTTTTATTTAAGGTATCAATGTTAATATCTGTGTGTATATGCTTTTTCTTTTTTAGCAGATTCTTGATCAAGTACTTACTCCATGGATCCAGGCCAGGTTCGTCCCATGGCCTGCCCTGAGCAGCGTACAGTCTGAGAGAAGATTCCATCGGCAAAACCATCATCTTGCCTTACGGAACAAGCAAAGAAGATGGACCTCCTGAGGAGCCATCTGACTGTGTGCTTTCCACCTTCTGTGCCCTTTTTAATCCTAGTCTCCACTCTGGCAACCGCTAAGAGTGTAACCAACAGCACTTTAAATGGCACGGACGTGGTCTTTGGCTCTGTGCCTGTCATCATTGCCAAAACTGACCATATCATCGTCAAGGAGGGGAGCAGTGCCTTGATTAACTGCAGTGTTCGTGGCGGCCCAGACCTAGCGTTTAAGTGGTACAATTCTGTTGGCAAGCTGCTGAGAGAAGGGGAGGAGGACAAGGAGAGAGGAGGAGGTAGGTTTCCAAGTTCTGCCTGTTGTCGTAGATTATAAACCGGGACTTAAGAGCCCATACCCTAGTGTTGGTTGTCCTCCTACGGGTCACTTAAAAGTCCCTTCCTGTCTTGTCGTGCAAAGGCATAAGAGAGGCCATATACTCTTAAGGGTTCACGTTGTCATTAATTCATTTTTCTGCTCTTTGATTCAGAAAACAAAGGGCAAACGTGGATGTCTTTGGAAAGACCTCTTGGGATGATATGCTATAATGCACTCAAGACATTTTAGAGCATAAGAATATATTCCCTGAGTATATGTTCCATTCCTAAGACTTGTGTTTCCTCTCCTGGGATTGGTTCCAATAAGCAGCAGAACGGTTGTTTATCATTAAATGTCAGTTTAACTTGTCTACTGTGGATTTAATGAGCAACTTCTTGAGGTGTCTGGGCAAACTCTCAGCTACCTGCTGAGTCCATTCCACGCCCCTGGAGACCTGGTTGAGGTCAGCGGTGGGAAGGGGACTGGAAACCTGGGGCTGCAGATGAGACACTTGGCCTTTAGTGAAGGAGTTTTTGACTAAAAGGTGTGAATCCTCTTCCCAAGCTCTGAGCTTCCTTCACCAGAAACTGCATCCAGAGGCAGGCTTGGAGGCACCTGGAATCTCCTCTTCTTGTTTAAGACGTGTGAGGTGATTGTGTGAAAACCCGAACAGGCTCTGATTGATGAGAAGGAGTTAATCTTCTTGGTTCAGCTTTTGACTGGGAATGAAGTAGGGCATTGGAGGTGGGAGGATACAAAGACCGTTGCTCAGCAGCGGCCCCTCTTCCCCTCCTTCCTTTCTGCTACCCTCTCCACTCCTTAACCCTCCAACCAATGAACAATCCCCAAATGAGTTTCTGCTTCAGAAAAAAAAATCTCCATATTTAATCTCTTCCCCTCATATTATCTTAATTGCTCTGCAAACGGAGAAAGTCAAATGCTTTGCATCTCCTTAGGAGGTTCTTACGGTTGCACGCTTCTGTTTCACAGTGATGTTCCCAGTGGGGAAGGCTGCTAGAAGGCCAGCTGCCTGGGATGTGCCTCCTGGCTGTTATGCTACTGCTGACATTATTTGGCTTAGCCGATCATGACTACACCGTACAGGATAGCTGCTCCCCTTCGATCAAAATATTATATATAATAAATCATATGGATGTTTAACCTAGGCAAAGGATAGCCATTCCCCACCAACTCACATTGTGCTGTCCTAGGAATTCTAAGGTAGAGGGGGCTTTACACATACAGCCTTCTGAATTTCCTTCACTGGAATCTGCCTGAGGTCCTGCTCTCAATGAAATGGTTGTGACTAGAACCTTCACTACTGACAGTGGAGAGATGAGAAACACCACCCCTTCTTCCACAACCGTAAGTCAGAAGGATAACACCACCCCAGTGAAGGAAGGACAGAAGCATGGGAACACACATGCAGACCTCAGCAGGTCTCTCTGCAGGGCTGGGCGACTCCCAGGGACATCAGGATGACAGAATTGAGAGGATTTGAGAACTCCAGACCTCAATCCACCTTCCACAGGGACCCTGAAGCACAGGTTGCTCCTGGGTATTTAAAGAGGGGTCTGTGCGCTAAACTGCTGAGTCCTAGAGAGGAAGAAAACTATGGTGATAATGTAATGCCGGAGCCTAAATTTCAGCCACGTCATTTTGAATGTTGTTCCAAAGTTGTACCCTACTGCTTCAGAGAAATACGCAATGCCTTTATTGCAAAGGTCTTTGGGACCGTGGAGTCGGTCTCAGCAAGTAGACACGCTGGCTGGCCTTCTTCATCGGTATGTAAAGGTGGTTGAGCTGTGCTAGATGGTGGCTATATGTGCTTTAATTTTACTTTTGCTGGGGGAAGCTCAAACGGCCCACTAGAACACCGTATCTGTAGACTCGACTCTATCAGCAGCTTGGGAATTGCAGCATCAGAATACAGCGCTCACATCTTCCCTGGAGACTTGCTGACGAATCAGTTAACTATTTTAAGTCTTATCAGAGAAGATGTCTTTTCAACTTCTAAAAGAACTCAAGATACCAGGACTTGATGTCCCAGCTCAGCTCTTGTAATTACAATGCGTTAATAATAGTCCTTTCAGCGCATAAGCCACATTGGGGAAATGGAGCAAGCGTTACACCTATCAAGCAGGCAGAACGTGGAAGCATCAGGAAGGAGAGCGTGCCTCGGGAAATATTAGCACTGCTGTGTTCTGTGGCCTGGGGTGGCCTGGGAGAGCGCACAGTCTTTAATTTCTCATTGCTGGTGGAGTAAATGCCCACTTTTACAGCACAGATGTAGACTTGTGTTTTCTAGCCAGAACACTAGAAGTGTAAGCCGAGCAGTGTTTCGTTTGCAACTGAGCCAAAGGGTGAGTGAATACAGGGTGAAAATCGTGCTAATATCCCATTGCTAGGACTGCGCATAGATACATGGGGGCGGTTTAGGCCAAATGAATGGAATTCAGAAAATCTTCACTGACACCTATTGCACATAAGCCCGGCCATTGAGTTATAGGTATAACTTTCTAATCCTTACGGTAAGCATGTAAGTGAGGTGCTGTCAGTCAGTGTTCATGGATGCAGATGGGAAGTCAGAGGGCTGGAGAAGACATTATACAAATGTTGTATAGTGCAAAGCCAGTTGGTGTTGCTTTCTCTGTGTCAGACCAGAGTCCGCTTAGCCTCGAGGTCTCAATCGATGAGAAATACCGTGGAGCATCTGGCATGGCTAGAGCGAATGTGGGAAGAATTCCTGCACGGAAGAGACCTTTTAACTGCCGTCTTCCCAGTTAGAGTCAGGATCTTTGTGCCTTAGGCTGCGAGTGTCATGCACACAAAAATGTGTTCAAAGTCATAGTCAGTTTGCTCACAGGAGCTGATTACCACTGACTTTGTGATTAGCCCGGAAAGAAACAATTTCCTCTC